CCTTCCCTCTGTTGTACAGCTTAATGGCAACATTATCCAATCACCAACATTTAATGGAAACCATGCAATGCGTCCTCAACCACCGCCATTACCAGTACCGGTAAAGATAGGTATGTGGTAATTTTTCTCACCCGTCTTACCCTTTTTTTCAGCTTGTGATGGGAAACGAGTGCTGTAAGGCTGGTCCTGGACCACGAAAACCAAACCCTCCATCAGCTGGAGCTTTAAATGGTGTTGGTTCCCCATCTTCATCAATAGCTTCTCCTCGTGAAGTTAATATAGCTTTATCACCTATTCGACCTTTACCCCCTCCTCCTCCACCAGCAGGTTTGTATTTTTATTTTTTATCATCTTTTTTTTTCTCATTTTTCTCTCCTTTTTTTGCATTCTATATAACTGAAAGAAAATTAATTGAATCTTATGTTGCAGGCAATGCATTTTGTGTAAAACTTGATTAAGTTATATCACTGGCTTAAGCTACCATGTTTATTGTTGGAATAATAGTGTGACCAAAAGCTTAATACAGATATGACTTGATACTTCCTTATGTAATTAATCTCTTAGCCTATTTCTATGAATACTAACATTTTAATACCCTTGAAATTATCTTGTATTGTCTTTCATCACCCATATCAATCATCATTTCTTTTAAGCATATCTGATACTCCAGTTTGCTGTCTTGGTTTAATGAAATTTGTGTCATCATTTAGATTGATGATTTCGAATTTGCTGATTTTGCAAAGAAAGGGTTTTGAGTTATTAGGAAAAAAAATGCAACATAAAATTAAAAAACTACAGTTTTCTATAAATTTTGGTGAAACATTTTAAGAAAAAAGTTTTGATCTGATTCAACTTAGTAAGCTTACTTTTGATATCAAAATTTGGCACAAATTCAGTTATTAGGTACAATTTCGATGGGCTTGTAGCTGTGATTGAGACCAAAGTATTGATCTGGTTTTGATGATCTTTGGTGGTGCATGCACTGCTCAACTAGTTACATATTTGTTGAACAGTTTTTGAACGAATACAACAATGAAATAGATATGAATTAAATTTGACGCTATTACTAAATTATTATTTAGAAGACTGGTAAATGTATGTTATATCGCCTGGAAATCTATAAATGTGGATGGGGCAAGCCATCTTTTAAGTCTCCTTACAATGTATTTTGCAGATGTACTCAGATTCAGGGCTATGTATGACTTTGAGGGAATGAATGAAGATGATTTACCATTTAAGAAAGGCGATCGATTAGAAGTTGAAGAATCCAGGTAATTTACTATGATACAGTATGAAAATTTGAGTGAGTTTTTCGAATTCCGGCCACCCCAACGACCCAAACTGGAGACACAAAATTGGGCCTGTTGAATTTGAAGAGCTTGGATTTTACTAGAACCAAACCTTTCAGATGTGGAATTTTTGCTGACGTTAATATTATGCAATCTATATTTTTTTTTAAAATGCAACTTATTTTTTATTGTGTTTCGTGAGGTCGGGATTTGAAACTCATCTGTGAAAATTTTTATGTCAAATATTTTGCCCATTTTCTGCTTCAAACTGTTTGATATTTTTTCTAATTTTAGTCAAACTGGTGATTGGTGGGTAGCTACACATTTAAAAACTAAACAAAAAGGCTACATACCTAGTAACTATGTTTGTCAAGATGATGATTCTCCTCAAAGTCAAGAGTAAGTGTTTATATCATAATTAAAATATATCCAGTAGTCAAGACAGTTACATCACAATATCATATCATTGGTTGACATCTTATAGTAAAGTGGTGATGTAGTCTTGACCATCTTTTGTTGATTGGTCCAAAATTCGTGAATGTGGTCTAGAACTGATCTAGTCTAGGGTCAGGAAGATTCTGCATAACAAATAGGTGGTGACACTTGACAGCAGCCTCATGGCACCTGGTGCATAAGAACAGGATCAAGTGGTCCATGCACACACTTCCTGTATTTTGTTAGCAATGTGATCTAGAGCTGGGCTGATACTGGACCTGACCAGACCAAGCAGTTAATTTTGCATCGCTAGTCGAGAGAAATCTGATTTATAAACATAATTTTATGAGAGCAAGTATTTTGTAACAAAAATAATTATATTTGTCTTGAAATTAAAGTGTCATGGTATTAGTACTATCATCTATTATCTAGTTGGTGGTATGATTTTGACAGAAGAGAATCAGATAAAATGTTATTATTAGCTGGTAATCCATCAGGCACATTTCTTGTGAGAGAAGCTACAGGTTTGTATATTTATCAATTTGTCAGACTAAAGTTAAGGCAGCTTAACTATCTTCTTAATCCGTTCTTCGAGCCCGTTTATTTTTAACGCGACCAGTTAAACATAAGCTTCCTTATCCTGCACTTTTTTTGGAGTTGTCTTAAAACCAGGCTTGAATAGTTAAGCCAGCTTAGTTTGGACGTCTGAACGCACTGGCTAACACTAAGCCAGACATATAATGTCTGCGTCTTAAACAAATTCCTGCCATTATTATTGTTGCTATTATGAGCATACGTAATGATATTGTGACCTCTGACCTTCTCAATAAATTTCAAGACAATGTCAAAGCTGGCTTAACTTTTATGTGTGTCTAAACGCTCGCCAAAAAAAGTAAACCTGGTTCAAAGAAAGGTTGATAGTTAAGCTGCCTTAACTTTTGTCTTCTGAACACTACATCAGATACGCAGCCTGATAGGTGGATCATATTAAGTAAAATTTTAAAGGTTAAGAATTGGGGAAAATGAGTAGACCACTGTTTAGATGTAACCACAATTTTGTTTTACTTACGATATTAATTTATCTTACTGGGTATTGTTTTAAAGTTATTTTATTCCCAGAATTTTAATGAAAATGATATGTACTCCCTTCTCACAGGTGAATTGCAAGTCATTTATTCACATTTCATCTACAGCTCTGATATAAATTTTCATTTGGTTAAATATTTCAGATAAATCAACATTTGTGTTGTCAGTGAGAGACACTGAAAAGAATACCCGTGATCCTTGTGTAAAACACTATAGAATACGCAAAATGGATAATGGAGGATTTTTCATTAGTCCTAAACGCACCTTTAAATCAATGATTGATTTAATTGAAAATTATAAAGGTATTTACATCATCCTTCTGAAACTAAATTGGTCCAGGGTTCAATCCCAGCTTAGGTTGAGATAATACTCTCGGATTTTTCAACTCGTCAGTGATGCAGGTAAGAAGGACTGGCATGGAAAAAGCATCTAGTCGTTCGGATGTGACAATAAACGGAGGCCCTGTGTGCTACAGGCTGTGCACGTTAAAGATCCCTTGACAGTTGGAAGTCAAAAAAGAGCAGGCTAACGCCGCTGTCCTGGCAAAATTGCCCTCATTATACCCTGCATGGCGATCCATGTCTTCATTAGCCCACATGGTGCAGAAAAGTAGGACGTAAAACTCCATTCATTTCATTTCATTTTTGATCCAATCCAAAGAAAACCATTCAATGTAGAAGATGTTGACATATAAAGGCTATATCAACAAGAAATAATTGCTCAGTACATAAATTGCACAGTTATCTGAATGATAACATATGGCATGCTTTCTTGTTCTAGTCTTCAGACAGTGTGGTATATTGCTGCATATAAATGCAAATCTGAAAAATGTTGACAGAACTTATCAGCTGCTTCTTCATGATGATTGTAATATGGAGATAATATATTTTAGATAATCATGATGGTTTATGTTGTCAACTGACTGAAGCCTGTCCTAGAATAAGACCAACAGTTCAGTTTAGAGAATTAGAAGTGAATCGAGATGCTGTGAAAATCTTAGATAAATTAGGAGCTGGTTGTTTTGGGGAAGTTTTTAAAGGTAGGTGCTTCTTCTAATTGGTGAAGCCCAGGTGGCTAAGTAAGTTAGACACTTGCTCTCTAACCTGAAGATCCAGTTTTCAAAACTGGGTAGGTTGAGATAATACCTGCGGCTTTTTCAAGTCAGTTATGCAAATCAGAGGGAGTGACATGAAAAAACATCTAGTCATTGGGTTGGAACAATAAATAAAGGCCCTTGTGTTACAAAAACTCCATTCATTTCATTTCATTTTCTGATTGGTATTCGTAATGCCATTGACACAGAAACACATCTTGAAAAAAGCAAGAATATACAAATAGAACATAAGATTCCTGAAATAGAACAAAAGATTCCTGAAATAGAACATAAGATTCCTGAAATAGAACAAAAGATTCCTGAAATAGAACAAAAGATTCCTGAAATAGAACAAAAGATTCCTGAAATAGAACAAAAGATTCCTGAAATAGAACATAAGATTCCTGAAATAGAACAAAAGATTCCTGAAATAGAACAAAAGATTCCTGAAATAGAACATAAGATTCCTGAAATAGAACATAAGATTCCTGAAATAGAACATAAGATTCCTGAAATAGAACATAAGATTCCTGAAATAGAACAAAAGATTCCTGAAATTGAACATAAGATTCCTGAAATAGAACAAAAGATCCTGAAATTCCTGAAATAGAACATAAAGATTCCTGAAATAGAACATAAGATTCCTGAAATAGAACATAAGATTCCTGAAATAGAACAAAAGATTCCTGAAATTCCTGAAATAGAACATAAGATTCCTGAAATAGAACATAAGATTCCTGAAATAGAACAAAAGATTCCTGAAATACATAGAATTGGAAATGATAGCTCAAATTATAAATTATATCATTTTAAGATCATTTCTATTTACTATCTAAAATTTTGTTATAAAACTTTTATGTAAAGTATTTTTGGAATAAATATTTTTGGTTTCTACAAATAAGCTTACGCATAATTTTAATTCAATTATAATAATTAATACCCAATAACTTTTGTTGATAATACAATAATCAAAGAGTTATTGTTTTTCTTATTGGCACATGGCTCAAAGTGTATGTATTTAGATGCTGTCTTTTTTGTCTTTTTCTGGTATTTAGAACAAAAACAGAATAATTCTGATAATTTTTATAGGAAAGTTACGCAACGTTGTTGATGTTGCCGTTAAGACATTAAAAAAAGGTACAATGTCAGCTGAAGCTTTTCTTACGGAGGCAAAATTGATGCATCATCTACGACACCGTAAATTAGTGGCATTAATGGCTGTTTGTACCACAACAGAACCAATGTGGATTATAACAGAATTTATGGCTCATGGTTCATTATTGGACTATTTACGTAACGATCAAGGGAAAAGTGTTCGATTTCCCATCTTGATTGAAATGGCTTCACAGGTAAGATCTTATATATTCAGAATGTTTTATTTGTTCTAAGCTGCCCGATGTGCTGAGTTATTTCTTAACTGTAGTTTGATCAGTTGACTTTATTTTTAAGAATTTTAAGATGTAATTAGACGTCTAGTTTAATTTCAATTAATTCTTATAAAATGTTATAAAAAGATGACTGTTTATGTATTTACTTAAAATGAAAATTATGTTAAATAATTATTTCAGATTGCTGAAGGCATGGCTTATTTAGAAACAGAAAACTTTGTCCATCGTGATTTAAGGGCAGCCAATATTTTAGTAGGGGAACACTATGAAGTTAAAGTGGCTGATTTTGGGTTAGCAAGAATTTTACATGAAGAAGATATATATGAAGCAACAGAAAGTAAGCTTGAATATTTCATGTAAATGCATTGTTTTTAATATGTTTACTATTAGCAAGAACTGTACAATACAGGGATGTGATACTGGGTCCACTTTACCAAAATCTAATTAAAATCAGATGACAATTTAGTATTTTTTCGATTTCTGATATTTCTCTCCACATCTTTCTACTAGTACTAAAGGTAGTATTTTTAACCCATCAAAGCAAGTCATGTAAAACCTGTTTCATGATTAAATAAGCAATTGTGGGTTATGGAAACCTTAAATTGAGCAACATGACAGCCTCTTTGGTATAAGCTTTTTCATGATTCCTTAAAAATCTTCAATATTTCTATCCAATTTTAACTAGATTGCCGTTATCACTGGATGATATTTCTTATAAATTCCTTACTGGGACCACTGGCAATGATCATGGCTAAAATGATATCCAAACATTCCAGGGTTATAACAGATGAGTTGAATCAATTATTTTGAGTAAAGTGCTTAAAGCAATTGGTAATCTATTATCTATTTGTTTTAAGATACAAAATTCCCAATAAAATGGACAGCCCCAGAAGCAGCTCTTGATAGAAAGTTTAGTATTAAATCTGATGTCTGGTCGTTTGGTATATTATTATATGAGTTGAATACATTTGGTCGTGTTCCATACCCAGGTAAGTGATCACAGGTTGTTTTTTTAATTCTATTATGATAAAATAGAGTTATCTTCCCTTCCTATATGTGTCAAATTTCTATTTTTGGTTGAGTGTTAAGCCTCTGTATAAAATTTGCTCAGGAATCCAATAAATCCATAAAACTAAATAATTATCCATAAAACTAAAAAATTATCCATAAAACTAAATAATTATCCATAAAACTAAATAATTATCCGTAAAACTAAATAATTATCCATAAAACTAAATAATTATCTATAAAACGATTTTGAGCTTTTTTAACAATAACTTAGTTTTATGGATTTAGCAGATTATAGAGATTCTGTTGTTTAGTTATGACACAAGGCAAGTCCCAGGATGAAATTAAACTCTTCTCAGCAAAGGTTAAGAATTTAAGTTGCATGTTCATTCTAAGAGGTAGAATTCCTGGCAAATAGTGTCTTTCTAGCTTATTCTGGAGGTATTAGAACAGGTTTTGAATTTTAATTTAATTCTGATTTTTAGGTATGTCCGGTGCTGAAGTATTAAGTAGATTAGGTAAAGGATACAGAATGCCTAAACCCCATGGTCCAGTTGGTTGTACTGATGCTTATTATGATATTATGGTAAAATGTTGGAATAAAAGACCAGAAGAAAGACCAACATTTGAATCACTACACAATTTATTTGATGATTATTTTATTGCTACAGAACCAGATTATAAAGAATCAGATGCAATTTAAATTTCTTAAAGCTTCCAAAGCATTTCAAGTGATAAAAGTGCCTCTAATTTTTGCATTGAGTTGATCAAAACCTAAAATATCATGCTCAAATTTCATTAATAAATTAAAAGCCACCCTTACTCCAAATACTGGTATATCTTAATAGGCATAGTTAACTATTTTCAGAGGTCAATCAGTCCAATTTGGAAATGGGAATTGTATAGCTAAGCTAATTAGTAATAATGTTCACATCTGACTATCAATATTTACCTATAATTATCTGTATTTGAAAATAACATTATTATTTCCTGTAAAAGACCTTATTAACAATAAATATGTGATTATCATCCAGTTCTAGTTCAAATCCTAGACCAAATGAACCTCCATAAATGGTGAACTATCTGTAAAAATTTAAGTTAAAAATTTGAGGAGATATATATTTGAGATGGCTTTTTCTGATAGAACTTTATCAAAGTATTGTGCTTGATTGATTACGACTTTACCTTTTCTTCTAAACTATCACTTGTATTATAATTCTTAAGTGACATTTAGGGTAGAGATCACATTAAGTAACACAACACAATTTTTATTGTATATTACTCCTGAGTTTTATTGTACACAACAATTTATACATCAAAAATTGTGTTGGAATTTAATATCACTTACATTGGTATAAAATTAATTGTGATTTCATGACACCAATATCAAGTTCAATATAGATATATATGTTATGTGTTCTTTATAGACTCTGTTTCTGTATATTTTTATATATTTATCATTTTATAGCTCAAAAGTTTTGATGATATATTTTATACTTAATTTCTTTATCTACTTAATTTGATATCCCATTATACTCCCATCATTTCGTAATGGTTTGGTAAAAAAAATCCCTATTTATCCCAGCTCTCGACCAATCTTAGCGATATTACAATGGGGCCTCGCGATTGGTGAATTCTAATGTTCAGGAATCAAACGGACATTCAATAAAACAAGTTAGAACTGAGTTCAGAACGCATTCCATTTGTAGATGCAGACAGAATTCAAAATGGTGGAGAAAGGAATAGAATGGAAAATTTTGAATGTGACATAATCTGATTCTGATTTCAATTGAGGTCTAAATTATTACAGATGGAACCTGTTCAGAACTCATCAATCAAGCGTCACCATTGATAATAATAATAATTGAAAAAACAGATTTTTATATTTTCTGAATTTTGCTGTTTAATTTTTTTTTTTGTTTTTTTTGCTGAACCTCTGTTGAAATCTGAGTCCAAAGTTGTTCAAGACAGTTATTTGGATATTGTGTCATAGATTTAGAAGTTGGAATGTAAAATATATAGATGTTATCTTATCACATAGATAGATATAGAATTAAATATATTCTATACAGTACTTGAAAAAAATCTTAATGGTATTTGATATTTACTTTAATTTATTGATGAGATATGGTGGTCTAAATATTGGTTTTATTATTATATTTTATTATGAGTTTACACTATTTTCTGCTATTGTTGTTATACTAATGGGCAGTTATCAAGTTTGTATTGATTTGCTTGAGAACCAAATATAGGACTACATTGTTACTGATAGCTAAAAGTAAGTTCTATGTGTACATAATGTATTATTATTCAACAAAACATTCCTCTGATTTATTGCTTTAAAAGCTCAGAGAACATATCTTTATGAAAATATATCTATAAATTTTTATTAAATTATCTGTATCCCTTATAAACATTTGAGTTACAAGTTAAGGTAATCACAAATTTTCAGATTCTTGCTTTTTTCGCTGACTTCATCCTGTGATACAACTATGTTTTCATAAATGTGCCTGTATAAATGTAAATAATGCTTATACATAATACTATTATTGATATATCTAAGACAAGGTTATACAACAGTCCATGCTATGATTATTTTAATAATACAATGCCTTGTCTAAAAATTTTACTCAGATTTTTCTATGTAACATTCTTGCAAATTTTTAACTGTTCATGATACAAAATCCTGTATATCCATTTTTTTGTAAACTCATTGGCAATATTATATGCTATGCCTCCTTGGTTTAAACATCTCTAATTTTTTACTTATTTTTACGCAATTTAAATTATTTTGGTATTATTAGGAAATTTTACAGATTTTTGTTACATATAAGTCTTCATTATCCTCTTAAAGGGATTGTAAAGAGATTTTATAAATTCTCTATGTGTATCCGTGATACTGATAGTATTAATTTGTACCACTCTAATTTTCAATCAGACTTCTGTGGTTCCTAAGTGTTTGATGACGTCACTAATTGAAAAATATGCCTTATCATAGACCCTACTGATCTAATTTTATTATAACCTTTTCAATACGCAAAATAACATATCAATATTAGTTTTGATCATGTTCTAGGGTAATATTGTACAATATTTATTGACAGTCTCTCCAACTTTATATTTTAATCGTGCAACTAAATCATTACATAATCATAAAATCAAATCAAACTTCCTTTAAAAGGATTTTTATTTTTTTAAACATTTTTTATGTCAACCCATACTGTTACTTAAAGAGATTGTAAAGAAGTTTTCTAAAATAAATTGTGTATCGGGAACACTGATAACATCAATTTACAACATTCCAATTTTCAATCAGACGTCTGGTTCCTGCAATTCCACTAAAACCTAGTGTTTGATGACGTGATAAAGCATATTTACAACATCAAACACTTATTAATTGTGGAATTGCAAGAACCACTGATGTCTGATTGAAAATTGATGGTGCTCTCAGTGTCTCCAGTACACATAATTTTGTAAAAAACCTCTTTACAATCCCTTTAAAATATTATTGTAAATGAATTGATACAATTCCAATAGGGATGATTTATTTGTCCAGGTTATTAATCACTCCTAGTAGATAAACTAATCAAATTCTCTTCTTTCATAGATTCTTTAAATATCATTTGCTACAAAATTGTTCTGTTCTGTTAATTGATCAAAGGAAGAATTCTTCTCAGCACAAATATTTCTTATAAGGAAAATTGAATTATCTCAGACCTTCATAGTGTTTAATATATACACATTATAAGGTCAATGAAATTAGAAGCAGGCTTCTAAGCTTTTTATTGTAGTAAGATTCCACGTGTAAATTAATGATATTGCAGGTCAATGCATTCAGGTCAATGAGATAAAGACAGTTTGATTCTTAACATTAGAATCCATGATCTATTTTTACATGTTTTTGAGGGTGTCGTCAGTACCTTAATTACTTTAAAACTTCCAACAAAAGTAAATATATGCATATACCATTCCCTGTTTTTTGCTTATTTATTTTATAAGATTGTTATTTTTTGGATGAATAATTTTAGTATCATTCCATTTATAGAAATATATATTATTATGTAAATAAAGTATTTTTATTGCTATAGTTCATTAATATCTTCCTACAGGTTCACTGTTTACAGTAGTTTTATTCTACTCTCTCGTGACAATTTATTTCAAAACAGAGATTGAAATATACAAAAAGATGTCTGTATGATAAAAGGAAGAGATTACCAACGTATCTACTTCTGGCAAATTATTTCACAGCTAATTATGGGGGTGCACGAACATTCATCACTGACGCAATTCTTGAGTAAAATCTTAAGTGTGCTTGTGCTTCCACAACAAGATTTGGGTTGCCAACAGGATTTATAATTTCAAACCAGTTTGATATTTGTTGCCAATTGTTTTATCGTCTGCTTGACAGTGTCATCATCCAATCAAATTCATTTTCCTTTCAATTGCATGAGCCACACATGATTATCAACATAGTAGCTTTCCTTTAGTGAGCAAATCCAAAGCCAAATTTTAATAAAAATAGAAAGTTTTAAGAGGAATGTTTATTTTCGCCTACATGTCACGTGGGTAAAACAAGCAACGTATCTTCTTCTAGTATAATCTGTTATTTATCATATTATATTCTCCATCAGTCCATCAACAAACTTGATGCATATAAATAATATCCCAGATGGATTACATTAAAGATGGGTTTCCTTGTCCTTTATTGTCAAATTAATCAAACTGTTTAATTAATTGGTGTTTCTAATGAATTATTATGTAATTTTAATCATATCATTATGTTCTTATTGCATATAATTAAGAGTTTAACCAATCTTCAATGTCCATGTATGTACAGTCTGGATAAACAAAAAAAGACTTTTTGACCTTTCTTGATGGGTCACTCATTGGAATTTTGCTGGTAATTCTCTTCTAATTTAGCTATTGTGAATTAATTATGGACACGTGAGACAAACTGGTGTTTTAAAAAAGTCATTAGAACACATCTTATTCATTCACATATAGTTTAAGTATTTCCATTTTCTTAAATGAAAATAAGGGAGCCCACCTTTTAAAAAGAGAGATTGCCCTTAATTTGATCACAATTCATCTTGTGTTGAGCAAACAACTCGGAATTTACTTGGCTGTTTCTAGTCCAGGTTGCTCTGTGGAACCTTCCTATAAGCTGCATGTCAAAGTTAACCAACCCCTCCCAAGTGGGTCAGTGATAAAAAAAAACCTGACTCAAGATTTATAAATAAATCAAGAAATTTCCAGGTTGTATTTTGTGACCTGCTTTTTTTTCTATGGTTATTTACAAATTATATTTCATTAACTTTTCAATGACTTCGGTTTTTCCAAAGACGTCATGTTTGTTATATTCTGGCAATAACATTTTTTAATTCAGTTTGATCAAGAAGATACATGGATATAAATAGCATACTGTAGAAATATTTTCAGGTATTATTTACGATGTTTTTGATAAGGAAAATTTCTTCCAATAAAACTTATTTAAAAATTTCTCCATAAATTCACCTGTAGAACTGAAAAAAAAAAATTAAATAAAAAAACCAAAAACTAAAACATGCTAGAAAGGTGCTGTTTCAAACTTTCAACTAACGAACAAAGATGTCAAGACACTTCAGTGAGAATCTTATTCTTGGTTTTCTTGAACAAGGACCTTGACATTACCCTCACTTCTAAATTTCACCCCTAAGAATTTTGAATCCATTCCTAGGGATGCATAATATGTACCCAGATTGAAAAGCACTTGGCTAGCTGAAGTGTGTGCATGGCAATAAATGACCTTTAATTATTAAGTGCGAGTCAGTGATATAAATACTTAAAATAAATTTCCAGGTTGTAAATTTGTATCCTGGTGTTTTCTCTATAATTCTTTACAAATTTCATTTACATTTACATTTCAATGTCTTTGGTTTTTCCGAAGACGTCATGATTGTTATATTCTGGCAATAACATTACATTGTATTTGACATGACTTTCAAACCTAATTGTATTATGTTGATTACAGTAAACAGAATATCAATGAATTTAATTTCCCCAATACTTATTTATTCAATAATGTTTACTTATTCAATATTAAAAAATGTTCCTTTGTGAAAGTATAGAGCTTAACAGAAATATGAGGTGTTATAGTAACAAATATTGAACAGTTCCACCACAGATGTCCATTACTACGGGAGATTTAAAATTCAATGATATACAGTTGTAACTAATTTATTGATTAAATTTATGGTAAGTATTTAATTTATATCAGTTTTTGATATTTTGCTACAATTAAAATATACGAAACACAAAAAAAACGTCATATCTTGCAAATGGTACTTACATCTTCAGTTGTCAAAAGACTCATTAAAGGGACATTCTGCTTTTTTTTTGTAAGTCGAAAATTTTTGTGCTCAAATTTGTGAAAAATATACAACTGAATCTACAGAAATACCCTTAAGGGCATCTGAAAGTTTTTGCCGTTAATTTTTTAACGCCAAATTTCGTTATGAATTTTGAAGATGTTAGAAAAGTAAAATAAACGCCTATATGTCTCCCACGTATTCTAAAGGTTTCAGCTAATAATATCGAGCCATTATAAAGCTAAACACCAACACTATATCAAAACTGCTTAATTACCAATTAGTTATGGGGCAAAAACATAGTGGTTCACCACCAAAAAGATGTTTGCCTAAAATACCAACAGATAATGATACAGGTACAGTCCTAATTTTGATTATAATTGTCTAAGGAATAAATATATTCAACATTTTTATCAATTTTCCAGCTGCCCATATGAGAATGAATATAATCAACTTAAAGGGACACGTGCAATTTTGGGGGGTTGATTTTAGTCTTGAATATATATGTAAATAGTCTTTAGAAGTACTAGAATGTACGAAAACCATATAATTCCATCAAAAATACTTCAAAAATTCATAAATTTTACTCACTATTTCTAAATATGTCTTTTCTATGGAGTCTTCATTTTAAAATCCAAAGGCAGATAATTCTGGATACACTTGGACTTGAAGGCTCAAGTTTTGACAGTGAACACTATTACTGATTAGCTCAGCTGCACAAATTCCAGTTTCTGAGACTAAAGTATGACTGGTGAAAAAAATGGTCAACCTGTCCCTTTAAAGTTCATCCAGAAGTGAACAAAAAAAAAAGAAAAATCTAATTTGTTAAACATTTATACTTTTATTCATTCAATTCATTTAATATTTGTAAGACTAAAAGGATACTGAGATTGTATTTCTTTCTATATAGATACTACTCCAATATATCCAAATAGAATTATTTGTAAAGCTCTGCTTGATTTTAAAGCAATAAAGATAAATGATCTATCTTTTAAAGAAGATAATTTGTTAGCTGTTACTGAAAGGAGGTAAGTATTTAAATTTCTCCATCATGATACTAAATTGTGACAGGAAACATCATACACTGTCAACTGAATGACAATTTGTTTGGAAATCGGCTTTAATACAGTACAATGTCTATTTTCTGGTTTGTTATTTCTTTTAATTATTAATTACTGTATTAATGAAACAGATACAATGAAAGAAGGAATTGGATAGAAGCTGTTCTTATACAAGATAAAAAAGTTGGTTATGTACCAAAAAATTATATTACAAAAGACACTGGTACAATACAATTGTAAGTTTCAAAATCATGTACATATATAACTTTTTTTTTTATTCAGATTCAATTTCTTTTACTGTGCTCCAAGTTAACTTTAAGGAATACTACCTCAGACAGATTCATGGGCATAAGATTGAATACTCAAACTTGTCAATAAAGTATATATTCAGTATGTTTTCATCAATGGACTAACCTGCTGTAACATCTATACCATTGAATCCCTTTGTAATATATTAAAAGATGAAGTTATAATCCATAAAACTAAGTAGTCATTGAAAACTGCTTCACAATTTTTTTCTTTAAGGGAAATTCAAGAAAATATTTTTCATAATTCCATAAATGGTCGATCAGTTGACGATCCATTTCCACAAACCAACTTTGATGACACAGTGCCAAAGGTTATCAAACAAACTGGTAAACTATGACTTGTATTGCTTTCTTTTTTGTGTTTAGTTGAAATGTAGGAAATATCAAATGGAGACTAACCTAGTTATCAAAGCTTTTTTTCTGTTAAGAGAGCTTGTTTACTTTCCATCAAGTGAAAAAGTTAACCTCCATTTTCGTACCAGCAACCAGATGAGGATTTGATATCTGAAACATGCTCTTAGACACATAAGTATTAAATATTGTTTCTGAGTGTTATGTATAATCCTGATCTGAAGTCAGAATTCCAGAGGAAAATAACTAATTGTGACCCTAGAAAAGTAATAACAGATTGATTGAAACTTGTAAATTGTAAATTCAAATATTTTACTATTTCTTGATGATAAATGTTGAGTTTTCACCGTTATTATATTTGCTTACAGCACAGTTAAAAAAACATGGTAAAGTATTACATGATTTTGATGGTACTTGTGAAGGAGATATAAACTTTAAAAAAGGAGATATAATTAAAGTAGAATATCAGTAAGGGTTTGTTTTTTTTTGTTACTGTACCATTGTTTTTCATATTCAAATAGTTATATTATATGTTTAGATATTGTTTTTCATATTCAAATAGTTATATTATATGTTTAGATATTGTTTTTCATATTCAAATAGTTATATTATATGCTTAGATATTGTTTTTGTTTAGTTTACTATATCATGTGCACAAGTGATTGCCAATGATCCTGAAAGTCATAATCTGTTGTGAAACCCATTGATCTGGCAGGTCTGAACCAAAAAGGGGTTTTTCACTGCATTAAGGAAAGCTTCAATTGATCAACCAAATTGAAAACTTTTGAGCGAAACTTGCTACAGCTTATCACTGTGTCAACCTAAACTAAAATTTGTTCTGTTCATCACTATTCGTCAAAAAGTGCAGAGTAAAGTTAATGAATTAATTAATGAATAAATTTTCAATTTTCAGAGAGTGTGGACAGACCACTGATTTGTTGGTTGCCAGCAATACAAAGTCAAAAGAGATTGGTTATATACCAAGTAATTATGTTCAAGATCATCATTTACAAGATAGTGATGTACCAGATGATAGAGAGTAAGTTATAGACAAGATGTTGTAATGAAATTAGGTACTGCATTATAATCAGGGACTGGTTAAATAGTAATAACAGTATTGAAATCAGGGGCTGGTTTACTACTACAGTATTGTAATCAGGGTATGGTTTACTACTACAGTATTGTAATCAGGGGATGGTTTACTACTACAGTATTGTAATCAGGGTATGGTTTACTACTACAGTATTGTAATCAGGGGATGGTTTACTACTACAGTATTGTAATCAGGGTATGGTTTAGTACTACAGTATTGTAATCAGGGGATGGTTTACTACTACAGTATTGTAATTAGGGACTGGTTTACCACTACAGTATTGTAATCAGGGTATGGTTTACTACTACAGTATTGTAATCAGGGCATGGTTTACTACTACAGTATTGTAATCAGGGTATGGTTTAGTACTACAGTATTGTAATCAGGGGATGGTTTACTACTACAGTATTGTAATTAGGGACTGGTTTACCACTACAGTATTGTAATCAGGGGAGGGTTTACTACTACAGTACTGTAATCAGGAGGGGGGGGGGGTTATTACTACAGTATTGTAATCTGGGAATGGTTTACTACTACAGTATTGTAATCAGGGGATGGTTTACTACTACAGTATTGTAATCATACTATATTTTCGTGTTTTAGATGGTTTTTTGATGTTACCAGATCAGAATCACAAAAATTATTGTTGTTACCAATAAATTGTATAGGATCATATCTTATTAGACCTTCTTCAGGTAAAATATCAGTGTTTATTGAAGTCACACTTAAAGTTATTGAATATTGAAGAACATTCTACATCTTCAGAGCACAAATAAAAATAATTGCTTCTGCAGCCTGTAGTGACAAGTTTCAGATCAACTGCTCAATAGAAAGGGGGAGAGTGAGAAAGTGCAAATGTGTTCAATTATTCTATGGAGGCTGCTATTTTTAATCACTATTCTTCACTCCAAATGTTAATGTCACTGATTTGACTTAATTTATAGTCATGCATGCCAAGAATATCGTGTTGTGAAAGCAATGGTTAGATAAATTATAGACTGACCTTGATGGGAGCTCCGATGATAATTCAATCATTTGAATTGAATTTTACGTTGGTATTTGTTTTCTAGATGGTAGGAATTATGCTTTGTCATTACTCACTGTAAATGAAAAAAAAGAAAAATGTATTAAGCACTATTTGATCGAAAACCATTTGAATGGATGTGTGTTTATCTCCACTAAAAAGTTTCAAAATATTCCACAGCTAATACAGCATTTTACAGGTAAGCTTACATCTCACAGACAAACTCTGATTACCTCTGTTTTTCAATTCAATTCTTTTATGAGGCCTTCCCTACCCTACAATTGAGTTATTTGAATTGTTATCCTTGTAAAAGATGTTTCTTTCTTTCTTTTTTGTTGTACTTTAACTGGAATGTTCATTTTAAAATTTTAGCAGTTTAGGATAATTTGCTTCAAGAATAGGGTGTAGTTTGATAAAAAATTGTTTTATTACAAAATACATGCAGAAATGTATTCATTTGAGTCTGATTCATAATCTTTTATTTCAGCTAATGATTTGGATGGTCGAGGCGCCAAATTGGTTGTGGTTTGTCCCAGATTAAAGGTGACACACAGATGTGGTCCTGTAGTAATAAGCAAGGATGAAATAACAGATCTAGAGAAAATTGCCTCTGGTCATTATGGTCATGTTTTTAAAGGTCAGTCACACAGATTGATGAATGTTTGATATTTGATTCATAAAAAACCAAATCCGTGAAGCTTCGGGTGTTGATTTGGGCCTTTATTGTGGAAACAAATGGATAAATAAGCTCAAATGGTAATCTGTGAGCACTATTTCTGACTGGCTTATCTTAATCGCTTTTTCTTAGACTGAGGTGAAAATGATCGAGAAGGTGGACATACCTCTTGAAGATAAAAACTGTTTGTTTCCTAAGAGGGATGGCTGAAGAGTTAAAAGATTAAGTGATATATCTCATTCTAATCGAAACAAACTTTTGTTACCAACAAGTACACTCATTTAATTAATCTTAGACGTTAGATCTGCAACTGTAGTGTTATAATTGTCTTTATAGGGAATGACCATTATTAGATTGGCCTAAGAAAATATTTTTTTGATCGGTATTCAGGCCTTGCAGAACCGGTGATAAAGTCTGTAAACCTGGAAGGTGATTAGGTTGAGAAACCCTCAACCTGGTTAGATTTTTTAAAAATTAGGCTAATGACTTTTCAGTCATCCTTGGTACTATGTGCGTGTATATCTTTCAGGCAAGTTGAACAAGTGTTTAGATGTAGCTGTAAAAATAGTACGATCAAATAGAATCTCACCAGAGGATTTTGTAAAAGAGGCTGATATGTTAAATAAATTAAACCATAGACGTATTGTTACCCTGTATAATATATGTATAAATGAAAAATCTGTATGGATTGTAACAGAATTTATGAAGAATGGTTCCTTGCGTAATTTACTGCGCAGCCCAAAAGGCCAAGAACTGAAAATGCAAGAATTGTTGAACATTGGTTCACAGGTAAATTAAATCTGCTTTTCTGCTTAGACTTTGTTTACATCTAATCTTAGAATGGTTATAAATGTCAATCCATTAAACCTTAATCACACAGAGTTTTCTCTTGCTGCGGTAAATTTGATGGTGTAAAAGATCTATCTCTTTGTTTCCAAGTTTTCCAAGTAGTACTCTCATGCTAGCGAGGAACATCATTAAGTCTTCATCACAAAGGATTGTGCAATGATATAGCAAGAACTGTCAATGAGGAACCTGTAGAGGAACTCTCTTAGTCACCATAACCAAATGTTTTATTTGGTATGTTGATTACTCATGAGTTCTATGATTTACTTTAGATAGCAGAAGGTATGGTTCATTTGGAATCTTTAAACATTATTCATCGAGATTTGAGAGCTGATAATGTATTGGTTGGAGATAACTATGAGGTGAAAATTGCTGACTTTGGATTAGCAAAAGAAGGATCTTATGAAACAGTGAATTTTAGAAGTACATATTTATATAACTTTTATTTTGTTGAGATAGACTAATTAGATGGTATTGACATTAGGCTCGTTTACACAAGTTGGACTTAGACTCGTGGATTTACTGACCCGGGTTGACTATGGAGTCAACTCTGTTTGTGTTTACACGAGGACAGTCTGCTTGGTCGCAATTTCAGTGAAGCCTGGGCAACCAATGGCGTGGTTGTAGCATGTAGTAGTAAACTGCTGAACCCGGGTAGAACATAGTGAAGACTGGAGTCTGCAACTCCAGTGCTGACTCGGAGTCGACTCTCGGAGTTTTCGACGTGTGAACAACTGCCCCCTTGCCGACCCTTGGTGGACCCGGGAATTTTACCCTTGTGTAAACTGCCCTTAAAGGGATGAGTTTGCAATCCTTTTGACCTAATTAGTACTAGTGTTCACAAATCCACATGTGTCCAGAATTATCCAGTTTGAAAGTTAGCAAGACCAGTCGTCTTTTCTAGAGATTCTGCCATGTATAGAAAATACATCTATAGAAATAGGAAAAGAAATGTCTAGTTTGAGATATATTAGAAGGAATTGTTCGATTTTCGTATATCTGTAGTGCCCCTGAAGGCTACGAATATTGAAGACTCCAATCAACCTCCGTAAATGGCGCATCTGTCCCTTAAAGTTTAACAGTTTTTTTTCAAATTTCAGCCAAAATTCCAGTAAGATGGACAGCACCAGAAGCACTGCTTCATGGAAAGTTCAGTTTTAAATCTGATGTGTGGTCATTTGGTATAGTATGTTATGAGCTTGTTACATATGGACAAGTTCCTTATCCAGGTTAGATAATATTTTCAAGCAATTTTAAAAATAGTAGGCCTATATTACTATTAAGGAGATAATTGATACACTTTTTGGGTATTAACAACATTCCATGACAACATCAACAGTTGACTAAGCTGGACTGACTGTCCACATTACGTTGGATACACTCTTATACAGGCTTCTATTCTTGACATAATATTTTCAATTGGATGAGTATGTTTGTATCATATATAGTGTTAAGGAAGATCCCTGTAAAAATTTGAGATGATTTGAAATTTTATGTTTTGGATACTATCATGTTCTGTTTTTTTTGGTGTTAGCTGTCTTGTGGACAGAGGAAGATGTCTCAAATTCATGTAAAAATTCAATTTTAATACATTATGTTATTTTTTAGGTGTAAAAAACCCGTCTCTAATACAATTATTTAAAGATGGTGGTAAAATGGAGAAACCAAGTCAATGTGAACAACAATTTTATGATCAGATCATAAGTCCTTGTTGGTCCTATACTCCAGATGACAGACCAACATTTGAAAATCTATTTTTTAAATTAGACACTTATTTTTTATCTACAGAGAATCCGTATCAATAAACTTATATCATTTTTGAAATAATATGTTGACTTAAGGTTTTCCTGCAATTGAATAAAACTTATGTTTGTTGTCATAATTGATTATCTTTATTTTGTATGGAAATTGTGGTTACTTCCACTAGTTAAAGCTGTTCTGGATAATTTAATCGTAGAAGAACTTGATGTGTGATTTTATATTTTGAAAAGCGATAAGAATAGCTGTTAAGTTGAAATAAAACATTGATAATAGATTTTGACCAAGTTCATCAAGAAACGTACATTTATATAAATTTTCTTTTTAACAAAAATATCATTAAAAGTTTAATCAATTTTTTTATCATGAAATCCCTTTGAAAAAGAAAATACATTGACTCAATGGAGAGATCTAAATATTTTTTAGACATTATAAATTGTAGTTTTGCGATAAGCTGTGATATTTGTCAAATATGTACATTATTAAAATATATTTATTATTGTATTTATTATTGTATTTATTATGATGTAAAATAAACATGTTATTAACTCAAGTATTCTTTAAAGCAGGATTTTTCAAGTAAATAAGCTGAAGTGGCACTTTCATTGTTAAAGCATCATGGACCTTAAGAGAAGCCCCCGCTTGCTTCAAAATAAAAATGTTTTGATATACCCCAAAAATATCAAGCTGACCTCTGCCATAATTTGTCTCTTTATTCTTGATTTCTGTATAATCTTGGGAGTGGTCCTACGTATTGCCATGGCCATGGTTCTTGGCTATGGGCTGCAGTCTTCATGGTAAATTGCCATTATCATTACCCATGTCTGTCTGTTTTGTATTTCCTCTCAAATGTTCTTTAAAATACAATTTTAGACCTTTTTGATTAAACAGTGCATAACATGTATAATCATTCAAAAAAGAGACCGGGTTGGATTTTTAGCACTGTCTGATGATTACATACAGAGTTCTGGTCCTTGACCCCAAATATTGAAAATACTGTTGCTCCCTTGATTTTCAAGAATTGAATGTTTATAATTTAGAAGTGAGCATAGGTTGATGTAGTCCACCTTCTACATGTTTGCATGAATATGAAATTCTATTATTTATCATAGATAGAAGTATATATCAATAAAACAATGTTGTTGTTAATAGTGCAGTGATTTTTCTAAATATCTTAAAAGGATTACATTCGACATCTATATGGAACTGTATATATATAATGTGTTGATAACAGATGTGATTATGGATCTGAATATATATTGTGTTGATAACAGATATGATTATGGAACTGTATATATTGTGTTGATAACAGATGTGATTATATATCTTTATATATATTGTGTTGATAACAGATGTGATTATGGATCTGTATATATATTGTGTTGATAACAGATGTGATTATATATCTTTATATATATTGTGTTGATAACAGATGTGATTATGGATCTGTATATATATATTGTGTTGATAACAGATATGATTATGGAACTGTATATATTGTGTTGATAACAGATGTGATTATATATCTTTATATATATTGTGTTGATAACAGATGTGATTATGGATCTGTATATATATTGTGTTGATAACAGATGTGATTATATATCTTTATATATATTGTGTTGATAACAGATGTGATTATGGATCTGTATATATATTGTGCTGATAACAGGTGTGATTATAGATCTGTATATATATTGTGTTGATAACAGATGTGATTATGAATCTGTTTATATATTGTGTTGATAACAGAAGTGATTATGGATCAGTTTATATATTGTATTGATAACAGATGTGGTTATGGATATGTATATATATTGTGTTGATAACAGATGTGATTATGAATCTGTTTATATATTGTGTTGATAACAGAAGTGATTATGGATCAGTTTATATATTGTATTGATAACAGATGTGGTTATGGATATGTATATATATTGTGTTGATTGTAATTTCATTGGCAGAGGACAATTCCAACATCCCAACATCCCAACATTCTGATATGGACTTGATACTAGATCCAATGATAGTCGTCAGTTCTCTGCCACGTATTGTCACGTATTGTACACGATGGTTCTTTGAAAAGTGGTACTCAAATAATGCAATGGTATCAGCTTTATTGAAAGTGTCGCCTAAATTGTTGCTTGCTATGGGGTATAGGATAGGCCTGTGTAAATTTTTGCAAGCAAATCAATCATTAACATCACTATTAGGTGCATTATACCTTTTTTGTGTTATCCCAGCTTGTTATAGGGTAGGTTCTGACTTAATCTACAACCTTTTAAGATATAGGCCTTTTCTAAGTCGAATAAGGGATTAAGTCAGTTATTACAGATAAACTTATAGCGCTACATCGCTCGATGACTCCTGTGTTAACCTTTACTCAGAAATGAAAGCTACAAGTATATATGCCAATATGAAAATAATTTATTGTAAATCCAATACGCAGTCACATACATCAAAAAATGATATCAGTGAATATTGCACAGTGTTATATAAATAAAAGCCAAAATGATCGAAAAATCGCAAAATCTGAATATATTGCAATGTGACAGAAATGCATTTATTTTAAAATCTGTGATTTCTTCTCTGAAAATTATCAGGTACACACAGCTTGGACTGTCTGTTGTTGTTATACACATCCCGTTCCTCTCTTAACGTAGGTAATTGTCTAGCAAACATTTTCTTTCCAAACTGTCGTCTTGAACTGTTGTATTGGTTCAATTTATACGTCCAGTAGGGGCTGTTATATCCATGACGAACTGGAAAGTCGATGCCGGGTAGCAGGGCCCATCTTGGCACATCTAGAGGTGACTGAAAATAAGGTTCGTCACTCCAATTAGCTACTTCTATACCAGATGATAAAAATGCAGCATCATCTTCATCATTGACTGGGGTGTCATTCACGGGATCTTCTGCCTCTACAGGGTAGTCGATCCCGGGAAGCAACATCCAAGCTGGAAAACCGACTAGTGGTACCTGAACCCATGGGTCTCCAGCCCATATCAACTCAGAATTGAAGTTGTCGAATGTCGGATCTGAAAATAATATAAAATAGAATGAGACAAACTGTCAATGAAATGAATGCTTTGAGGCGTCGAACCATTTTATTGAATTTCAAAGAGATTTGATTTCATTTAATTCAGTTTATAATATATTTATTTCTGAAAATTTTGTCGATTTCTGTTAAACTGAGTTGCTGATTGACAATGTCTTTTCATAAGTTTGAAAAGAATCCATACAGGTGAACCTACCTTCCATCTTGGCCCAGTCTGGAACCTCAACATCATCACAGGGAGTCCATGGTTCATCAGCCCAGTTGAACACATCTTCTTTAAACTCATCCTGGGAGGATTTCTTGTTATTGTTATTGTCGTCTTTGTTGTTGTTGTTTTGGTTTCCATCAGAGCCTGAAAGTAATAATAAAAATAATAATAATATATCGTTGTATGCAGCTTTAAAAAATGATTCACAAAATTTATGAAAATCTGTTGACCCTGAATTAGTCTATAATTCATTTTAATCTAATCGGTAAAACAGACGTTTATCTAGAACAATTTAACCATAAAATGTACACATACAATTACTAGCGGAGAGATGGTCTCCATATTGTTTCTTTGATAGAAATTCCAATAAGATCTCATCCACTACGTGGCTTATAACTGGTAATCTGAAATATACAAATAGAAACATTAAAATCAAACTTAGATTGAGAATTCTTCCATTGATGATGGTAGGAATGAAATCAACATTTCTTTATACAACCAGCGTTAGTGATTTACTTACATGATTGTCATAGTTTATCGTCCACACAGAACTATAAGTTACAAAATATTTCAGAGCAGTGTTAAAACGCTTCTTCTCGCTTTGAAAATCCAAAAGCTAATGACTTTTAGACCAATTTGACGCTATGTTCATTATGACGTCATAATAGATATAAGTGAACAGAAAACAATGGAGTTCCCTCAGAAACAAGCCCAACCCATCTTCCGTCTCTATTTAAAACAAAATACCTCGGTTCTCAAATATATTCCAATAAAATTCGAAATTTACACGATGATCAAAGGAAAACTTTGTAATGTGTATATGTTTTGAAGAGCAGTGTCTAAAAATCATTAAAAAAATCGCTTTAGACCCAAAAGAAGTTGTGTAGCGTTTGCTTTCCTTGACAAGACTTTTAATATTATGCAACATTATTATGTTTTGCAGGCTTCTCAGCTTATGTTTTTTTTTTCGAACCATGCCATTATTCTTTTAATAAGCAGTCTACTTGAACACATTTACAACAATTAAAACCCTCACACCATAGTTGCGTATCATGCGTATTGTTGCGAATAAAAAAAAAGTGTTCATGTGTTCCGAACGCAATTTTCATGAAACTGTGTTGCATTGGAAGCTTATGACCGCTTTTCTTATCCGCAACCATACGCAACACTGGTGATCACTATGGTGTAAAGGCATCTAAACTGGCTCTAACATTTGAGTAAATCACAAATCGTCAAACAACCAAAACAAGCACAAATTTAACTCCCTGCTGATATTTGAACACAAGAGAAGATTAAGAATAAAAAATACTTACAAAATAGTCATAGTCGTCTTTCAAATTATCTCCAACTTTGACAAAATTCAACGAATTTGTTCTGAAAACTAGCAGCGTGACTTTCACTTGAAAAGTAAAATCTGATAGCCGATGACTGTCAAAATATCTATCAGAGACTGGAATATAGGCAGATCTTTCGAGCTATTTCGGATACAGTATTGGGGTCTTGTGATGTAGAATCTAAGTGGACTTTCTCATCATCACAATGTCAAGCTATGGCGATCTACGTCTAATACCTTGACTTGATTGTGCTCTTTTCTTGTATCACGTAATTATATTCGTTAGCGTACAATCAATCCCATCAAATCGTTGCATTTCCAAATTTCAGTGATACAAGAAAAGCCTAATGAAGTCAAAGTATTAGACGCAGTTCGTAATAGCTATGGCATTGTAAGGATGCGCCTTATCGGTGTTTAGTTCTTGAAAAAATAAAAGAAGCGATATATTTCAGATAAGAGGGTTAGATATTGATTCATATCTTACAGGTATAATTTTATTAGGCTGAGTTTAATCAAAAACGTAAGTGCATTTAGCCACCCTCTGACCAAGATCCACTTCTAAAAGGTCGAGAGATAGACTGGCAAATTAAGTGATGAGCTTTTCACATCACAGGTTGTCGTTGCTTGAAATAAATAATGAAACATATCATTGATTAACGGTGCGTTATTAGACATGTTGCTCTTTGCAAACAAAATTGTTTTTTCATTCAAAACTCTGAAAATCTAAGAAAGTAACATTGAGGAAGGGCAGACGACCAACCGGACTAAAATAGTATCGATTGAATCTGATAAGGAACTTGAAATTGTTGACTCATATGTATATTTAGATAATATTATATAGTAATGGTATTTATCCTAGAACTCATAATGAAATATTATGTGATTAGGGAAGGAATAAACGATTTTAATTTCAATCTTCACTGTAAAGTTATTTTATCTATTAGTATCATCTGTATTGAATTTTTATCCCATTGAAACATGTTTCCTTTCCATATGTCCTTGTTTTAATGAGTTTCCACAATATAATTATAAGCATCCTGGTAAAAGGACATTTAGAGAATAAAATTTTGTTATAAAGATTTAACATAAATAGAACTTATCAATAGCTATACTACTTTGAGACACACCGGTGTTCACTAATGTAAGCAATTTGCGGTTCATGGACATATGAATATTTGTATTATCATATTTTCTGTATTTATTTATTATTGGGTTAAAGCAGTTTAGGGACATTAGGGATATGTTTATATATTCTTTTGATAACAGATGTAATTATGGATATATTGATATATGGTTTTGATAACAGATATGTTTATAGCTATATTGTTTTGATAACAGATAATATAACAATGACTATATTATTTTGATAACAGATGTGATTAGGCATAAATTGATATATTGCTTTGATAACAAATATGTTTATGGATATGTTGTTTTTATAAAAGATATGATAAATGCATTATGGATATACTGATTATCATTGTATGGTATGAATGAAATATGTATTATGGATATATTGTAATTGATTATGGATATATTTATATTATCATTGATAACAGGTGTGGATAAAATATGTTAGATGATTAAATACTATTGGGTTAACATGTAAAAGAATGTCAATAATTGGCAATGGGTTGTGCTTCTACTAAAGAAGTTGAGAAAGAGAAAACACCTCCATCTGGTAAGATAACACACTTTCACTTTTGCTGAACTATGCACTATGGTACATTTTCAATATTTTTGGTTAGAAAGATTAGGCGAGAATACCTTTTATCCACTTTTTTATGAAAATATCACAGTACAATTTTTTGACAGACATCGTTTAATATATTGACATTTAATTCCAATTATTATTATTTAATACTTTCCATGAAATATATTTCCTGGCAGGAATACATTTGTTCTTTTGGCCAGGGTTTACCCGATGTATCTATTAGTTTCAGAAAACGATATTTTGTTTGTATTAGTACCTGATGTAAATTTTATTTTATGCACTTTTATATTAACATAAGAGTAATTATTGTAACCGAATTTTCTCCTCTCGGACTGTGCTTTCGTAATTTCAATTATGTACAGTTTTTACAATCTCTTTCACCAAGCCAAGCCAAGCAAGTCACCAAATTGAAAGAACTGCAGATCACAGGGAAGATGTACTCATATGATGTTGTCGACTTATTCACCAATGTCCCATGTAAAGATGTGTTGAGTATCATAAGAGATAAGATATCTAAATTAGAGACCCCACTTGATACTACACTTACTACAGACAGCATCGTCGATCTCATTCAGATGTGTATGTCCTCTACCTACTTCACATGGGGAGATGAGATCTATGAACAAATCCACGGTCTACCTATGGGAAGCCCCTTGTCACCATTGATTACTGAAATCTATATGACAGCCTTTGAGGAAAAGACCATGGAAACCTCTCCGATCTCACCAATCTGCTGGTTCCGGAAAGTTGATGACACCTTTGTCATGCTTAGAGCTGAAGATGACCCATCAGCTCTACTCCAGCATCTTAATGCTCAGCATAAGAGGATCAATTTCACCATGGAAGCAGAAGAAGATGACTCTATACCCTTTCTGGATGTGAGAATTAAGCGGTTAGGCGGTCAGTTGAAGACATGCGTGTATAGGAAACCTACACATACAGATCAGTATGTGAACTACCATTCCAACACCCCTCAACATGTCAAAAGGGCAGCCATCACAGCGCTGGTCAGAAGAGCAAAAAGGATTTGTGACCCAGAATACTTTCAACAAGAATTACAACACATCAAGAAAGTATTCTGCTTGCACAACAACTACCCTCCAGCCTTTGTACATCAAGCTTTTCGATCCGTATTAATGGCAAAA